CACTGATTTGAGATCTCAGAGAATTCAAAAAAGAACAATATCAGTACGTCTTATTCAATATTTAAAGCTTTCTTGTGTCACTTCTATTTATTGAATTCACGTTTTCACTGGATCTCAATTATTTCAAATAATAAAGATTTTTTTCTCTCTCTCTGTGAAAATAAATTGTATAAATGTAGATATCTAGTGTCACTTTGATGTTCTAAGCCATCCCACCCAGGCTCCAGTTGCTCCTCCAGTTCAGGGCATGGGTTTCCATAGGTTCTATGTCATGTCCATTCACATGTCTTGAATGTGTAGGGACAGCTAAAACCTAAGTTAGTGTGAAGTTATTGTAGCTGCATTTTCCCTTTCGTCTCACCCTTACCTGCACAAGTAATACTTAGCATTATCTTTACTTGTCCCAAATAAAGATAGTAATGAAACAAATATGTTGTCATGACATTTACTCTTCCTAATTTCCTAAATACACAGGTTTTCTGAACTAAATTATTCTCAGTCATAAAAAGAGGAAATAACATTTACTCTCAAATACCTGACATTTTTATTTTTAGAAGTCAACAAGTTTGACTTCCACAGCAAACTGATGACACCTCAAAAATATTAATAAGGAAGTTGATTAGTTAATAGAGACAACATGTTGTCAGATCCTTAAATTACAGAAATTAGTATAGCACCATCAGTCATTATCTCTATGCAAATTTGAAAGAACTGAGAATACAAGTTTCGTATGTAGTATAGGAAAATTTTCTGTCAGAAACTTATGTACAAAGAATATGAAGAATGCACATTTGTATATACAAATAGGTAAGACATCAACAGTAAGCTGAACTAAAGGACATATCTCTCTACTTTGAGTTTATAAAGACTTCAATGCTAAGTTTAACATACATACGTAGACATGTAGCAATGAAGTCAATCTTTCATTCTACAAATAGAAATTGGGAAAAAAAAATCATGCATAGTCAGTTCACAATCTATTTGTTTAGAGGGAGATAAACACAGGTCAGAATTTGTGTTGTGGCACCATGTCAGTCATGCACAGAAACTGAATGGTCTTACTGCACTCTGGACAAGATGCTTCTGTTCACATGACAGAAATGAGAAGCATTGGGTTCGATTCCCAAACAGTTCTAAACTCGTGTATGCATAAGTTGCTGCCTTCATTAAAAAGTGACCTTCAAGAGAAAGACCTTTAAAAAACTCTTTATTTCTTTTCCATTGATAGAGAGTAGTTCCTTGATTTACTTGAAAGGCAGCCCGGAATAAGCTTTTTATTTTCTTGTAAATTGAAAAAAAATACAAGATTATACAGAATAAATAGTAAATATAAATCTAGCTAGAATTCATTGCAAAAATAAACCTGCGCTGTTCTACCTTTTTTAAAATCTATTTTTCCCACAACACTTTAATTTGTTCTAATTTCAGAAAATATAACACATTTTTGTACAAACAGCTAAATACTATTTTTCTTCCTCATGTGTGTGTGTATTGTTGCAGTTATTCTGTCTGGGAGTTGCTTTCAGGTAGGGTGGAAAAGAACCTGCATTTGCACTTGGAAGTTCCTAGCCAGAGCAAACTAATTTTCCCCAAGAATATTTAAATCCAGCACAGAAGTAATTTATATAGATATATAGAGATATATAAAAAAATCAAACTTATTAAACACAGTAATGTATTTACAGCTGATTCTCAGTAGCTTTTCAAATTGCCTAGGATTATGAGTTGAAACACCAGTGATGTACAATATTTTATAGCAGCAGCTCAAAAAAAAGATTGTCCAAAAATAAGTAAAGCTATCAGATAGGGAAAGCAGCAAAAAGCTTGCTTTTTAGTTCATTGAAGAAGTTTGGTAGACATAGTTTCATATTTTTCCTTCCACATACTGATACAGAATGCATATGATGAAGTTCCGAGTAAAATATTTAAATATTTGCAGGCTCTGTGTTCATACACAAAAATATTTTTCTCTTTGTGTTTGTGTTTTGTTTTTTTTTTTTTTAACTGACATCTAGTATTACAACATTTCACCTCCTTTCATATTTCATATTTATTATAAGGGCATGTTAGGTGCAGTTGTAGACAATGGTCATGTATGCAGTGCATGTACTAACCTAACCAATACACTCTACGTTATAACTACAAACACAAGTGGGTTTTGGGGTTTTTTTGGTGGTTTTTTTTTTGTTGTTTTGTTTTGTTTTGTTTTGTTTTTTTAAAAGGAAACTAATTAAACTGAGGGAAAAAAAGAAAGAGCAAAGGTAACAAATATTTTTCCATAGGTTAGGTAAAGAATGGAGAGTGCTATACACATTTTTTTTTTTTTTAATGTTGAGGAATATTGCAATAAGCAATCTTCCTCTCACAGTTCAATCACACAAAGTTCATGTTTAACTTGGGGTGAGACATATTGCCTGCACACAACCCCATGGCTTCCCACAGTGATCCCTGAGTTTTTTTTTAGTAGGATTACTGCTGTGCTTAAATTCTGACTGTTGACATGTTATCATAAGGCACTTTTATTTACACGGTTCCAACTTAAAATAAAATTACAGAAATTTGGCCCCAGCCCAACTTATTAGTACTTCATGTTTGCTGCTCCAGGACTTCCAAGTAGTCAGGCTCAGCATGTAAATTAGCTTTGAGCTCAAAATACTCATTTTTAGTTTGTTCTAGAAAAACTTTTCTTGGCCTGGAGTACATGAGTGTCTCCATTAGCTTCAGCTCCTCATGTGTTCCAGGATAATGAACTTCCATGTCAGGTTGGAGTTGGACAATATTTTTTCTTAGGTACTCTGTGATCCCTAGTTGCTGCAATTCTCTCTCTTTTTCAATAATGTTTCTATACAAGCAGCTGGCATCCTGAAAAGACAAAAATTCAGCAGACTGATCTGTAGCCTTATATTTGACATTTGGACCTGTAAGAGGTGAGCTGTTCTCTCTTTCCAGGAGACTACGTCGGAGATGTTTGGAATCATTAGGTTCCTTCTCATTTCCCTCCTCCTGCTGTTCAGTATGCTTGGGGCTGAAGGATGGGCTGTGGTAGACCTGAACCAGGGGAGTAACCATACGTTGCTCATAGAGAGTTGCAGCTGGGCGCTCCGTTGTGTGGTGTGTTGTCTTATGCCCATACATGCTGTACTGAAGGTGAACTGGGCTATTATCCCTCATTTGTTCATCCTCTTGTTTCTTTTTGCATCTTCGTCGCCGATGCAGAACAAGAACAACTATTCCTGCTGCACAAAATACAATAGTTATAAACACAACTAGAAGTCCTAATATTAGAACAGAAAGTGGGACAGCATCTGTTAAGGACCGCAGGATGGTGTCTGCAGTGTTGGTAGTAGTAGAAGAAGTCGTCACAACTATAAAATTGGCGTGAGTTGGTAGGGCAGGGTTGCTTATTAAACCTGGACACAAGACTTCACTGTTCAGGGATTTCAGTTCTTTTTTTGCTAGGTGTCCTGGAGATTTACAAAAAATATCACCCATCATTGTATTCTTACTCAGTTTTTGTATCCACTTTTGCAGCCCAACTGAATCACAGGTACAGTCCCAGGGGTTGTCTTCAAGTTCAATTTGTACCAACATATCCAGTTCATCCAAGACATTGCTCACAGGCAAATGAGCAAATCGGTTTGTTTTCAGATTTAACCTGGCGAGTGGAACACCTGAAAAGATATGGGGAGGCAAAGTCTGCAGAAGATTGTTATTTAAGTAGAGGACCTTAAGTTTTGGCGTTGCATTAAATGTCCCTGGCAAAATTTCTTTGATGGCATTATATTCAAGGTACAAGTACTCAAGGTGCTGTAGGCCAAGGAAGAGATTCTGACTTAGCTTTGTAATATGATTCCCATTGAGATACAATTTCTGCAGTCTGGTCAGATTCATAAAGGATCCTTCCTCGAGGATTTCAATGCGATTGTTCCCCAGGTGAAGCATTTCCAGGCTGACATAGTCCACAAGATCTGATTTCAGTAATGTCTGAATAATGTTTCCAGCTAGAATTAGCTTTTTAGGATTTGAAGGAGGGGGTCCTAAATCAGACAAGCTTTCAATATTTCGCTCCTGGCAGTGCATGAGAACTCCTGAGAGCATATGGCTGGTGCAGTGACAGGGGACAGGACAGTAGATTCCTGGAGACTGAGTAACAGGCTTTGAAGTATGAAGCACTAAATTTGGTTCTTTAGTAGGAGCTTTCAGGATAGGAATTACCTTAGTTGATAGGTGACTGTCACTGATAGAAGTGGTTACAACCAAGGGCAGTGAGCCTGAAGGATCTTCAAGCTCATTTACAGGATGAGTGGGACAAAGTGATTCCTTTTTCAACCGGCTTAAGATGCTACCTTTGATAACTGGAGGGCTATTGCATATAACGTCACCTATTATTGACTGAGGAGGCATGTTTTCTAGCCATATTTTCAGCTGCAGCAAATCACAATTACAGGCCCATTTATTGTCTTCTAACTGAAGGTCTAGTATTCTACCAATGTGTTCCAAAAATCCAACATAGGGCAGTGTCTGTAACTGGTTTCCACGAAGATCTAAATGGGTCAATGGCACAAAACGAAATATGTTTGGAGGAAGATACTCAATGGCATTATCATTCAAAATAAGCACTTTAAGCCTGTTGAGCTTGCTAAAGGCACTTGCTTCAATCACTGTGATGAAATTGTTGTCTGCTTGAAGAAACTCCAAATTTTCCAATCCATTAAACGTATCTTCTTTAAGTGTTTCTAAAGAATTGTGATTGATATGAAGTTGCTTAAGAAGGCTGAGACCATTGAAAGCCCCAGGCTCAATATCTGCAATATTATTAAAACCAAGATGTAGAGAGATAGCATTAACAAGACCAGCAAAATCATTCATGTGTAACGTAGTCAGGCCATTGTTTAACAGATTAAGATGGAACGGTCGTGATGGTGGGACATTTATTTCTGATACCATCTTGATGCCTCTTTCTTCACAGTTTATAATCATAGTATCATCCTTTTCTTCACAGGAACACAAGCTCTGACAAGATCCTCTGACTGAAGAAAAATAAGTGTGTGACTGGAAAGGATCAGATGCAACCACAACTGAACATAGAATAAAAATCCAGACCTTCATCTTGCGCAGGAGATTCTAGAAAAAAAATAAAAAAAAAAGAAAAAAAGAAAAAAGAAAAAAGAAAAATAAGTCATGATTTCACAGGGTTGATTTTTTTTTTTTTTTTTTAATGGCACAGGGGGGGGAAATATCCATTTTTGTACCTGTGATTGAGCTACTTCACCTTTCAAACAATATTATATAGTGAAAAATATTTGAATGATTTGTTAAGCAGAGAAAAATCTATTTTATTTAATATACCGAATCAATAATCACAGTCGTAAGGGGAGTGCTTCAGTGCTTTCACACTAATACATCAAAGTAAGAGATAATCAGGAGTGTGTTGTCTTTATTTTTATACTATATAGAATGTTTTGCTAGTGGACAACAGTAACAAGTTACTGCCCTGCGTAATTTATATGAAGGCTAATAAACTATTTTGGATTGTTGCTTTGTGTCACTATCTAGCACTGCAAATTTTAAAAGTACCTTGCTACGCTCAATTTAATGTTGTCCAGTTACTGAGGAGAAGAAAAAAGATATGGTTTGGTTCAACAAAGGGTTGTGGGCAAAATTCAGTCAGGATACATGGAATCTCTCCTTTGGTTCTGCATTATGTATGTAAATCAATAGGTGTTTCCTCTACAATCCTTGTACCCCCAAACAGAAAACTGAGTCAGCAAAGTAAATTATTTTATCTTTACTTAAATTAATGCATATGTCGTAATTTGTGGAAATTTAGTGAAAGCAGGAACACAACACATACTAGTGTAACATGTTTGCATATGATAGACGCATAATGTAATTGTGTACACGATTAAAATTAAAAAAATAAGACAGAACTGAAAATGCAGTGCATGTCAGAAGAAACAAGGTAGGCAAGGAGCAAACTTTTTTTTTTTAGTTTAATTATTAGTTTCCTTCCAATTATTATAATAATTAATCACTACAAAACTTTTAAATGTACATGGAACTAACTGTGCTTTATGAGTTAAAAATGATCACCAGTATTATCCATATGTTTTTTAACTTAAATTGTCATCTGTCAAGTTGATCTTGAACTTTGAATACCTGATAAATGCATCATTACAGTGCAACTATGGAGTCACAAGCAAAATTTACACTTTGAAATCAAGCATTTATTAACATTAATTTATGCTACACTTCATTTGAAGATTCTCTCTTTCAGTCAAGGCTGTCTAATTAGCAAGGACAATGATAATTCTTGATATATGAGATGGAATGAAATCACTGTTTATAATCTTTAATTAAATATTTCCCATTCCCTAAAAGAAAAAAATAAATCTTACAATGGAATGGATGATTTAAAACAGAAGATTTTTTTTGAGGTGTGTTATTTATTCTAGAACTGAACTAAACAAATTTCTTAAGTAATCCATCTAATAAAGGTCACTTGATCTTTCTAAGTAAGCTATTGAAACATGGAGTACAAAATGTCACTAAACAATTAACCAGTTGAAATGCTAATTTCTGAAATATAACCTTTTACAAGAATCTATTCAGTTACATGCACAAATATTCTTATACTGTGGCCATATGATTTGGCATCTCATAAAAACATATTTTAATTATCATGTACCTTTGTTACTAGCAGCACCGTTTCTCAAGGCTGCCCTTAAAACAGATTGCAAATATATACATGCAGGAACTTAAATGCTGTGGTAGAAGCATTACACATACACACACTCACAACAGCAACAACAGCAAATGTATGCACAGTGAATTATGTTTTTCTCCTTTAGTAGTTCCTGATAACTAGAAGCAGATATATGAGTTTAGAAGTAGTAAGTAAAATTCAGTGTGAGAAAAGTGTCCCTAGAAATATTACTTTTTATCTTTTTTCAGTAAAACAAATAATTTTATTGTCTCATACAGCACTCAGTGAACTCCAGCTGCCTGTGTTTAAAATCTATGTCTTTAAGTTAGTTTTCCCAAGAAGTATTGGATAAGACACAACATGTCATGATGCTGTTTTGAAGTATGCACAATAATGATAGGATCATATTATGCTAGAGATTTATTCTTGCTTTACATGCACCAATATCCTTTCTAGTGACCCAAGGTAAAAAAAAATGCAGGCTCCTGACACAATGCCAGCTTCAAACCCACTGTATGACTAATTAAAATTTATTTCTGCACAGTTTTTCTCTGTAGGAATTCCTGCTTCAATCTGCATTAAGTTCAAAGTGTCCTTTTAAAGTCCCTGAGCAAAATTAAATAAAAAATAAATAAATCTGAAAAGCATGTTGCATTCTAGGGCATATTGAGAAATAAGGTTATAAAAATGAAAGCCCTCCTCTCAGAGATGAAAGTAACAACATTTGTAACCAATTGGAAAACATTCCCATTATAATTATCGTCATACATCTGTCAGTAGCATTGCCAGAACTCACACACACACACACACACACACACTCCCACCAAAAATTAATAGGAGATTTGTATTACTTTTTCCTTTTTTTTTTTTTTTTTTCATCTAAACACTCAGGAATATGTAATGAAACACTCAGTGGGTTACTATTGTAAAATAAAAACTACTTTCAAGTATCAATATTTAACTGCAAGAATTCACAATAAAATAAAATTTAATTTAGAAAATTTGACAAAGCTAACCCTTTTCTGTTTCATGCGGTGAGTTTTCTCAACAAATTCTATATGGTAATCTAGGTCTATTCATTTTATATGCTTTCGTGTAAGTCACTACCAACTGCATACTGTAACTAACCTTTTTAATCTAAAAGACTAAAAAATGTCACAGTCCTTTCTACGAGGCAAAGTTGAATACTTTCAGAAGCAGTCACCTTATAGCAAAGGCATTACATACTTCACAAGAATTAATCAACATGTTCTTAAAACATCAAAATAGCTTGTTTCATTTTACTTGAGGTTTAATTTATGTGGTTGTTTTAATTCAGTTATTTGAAAAATGCATAATGAAGAATTTCAAAGCCTCAAGCTAAGAATTGGTAATTTCTAAAGGCCTTTGGGATTGTTTATTAAATTCTGAAGGGAATCACAGTCAGATGATGCATTTAAGACCACTCTTGCGCTTCAGGAAATAAAAACAAACACCCACTTCCCCCCCCACCCCAAGGGATCTGAAATCAGCATTTCCTTAACACACACATTCTCCACAGTTTGAATAAATGCACCTGGCAGACAGTTTGAAATACAGTATAAACTGCCATCATTTAACATAAAAGTTATACAAAGTCATGCAGAAAAATAAATTCAGCTGGTACTGAGAAATTAATTTTTCATATGCTAAGCTAATTAACTAAATGGAATCTTTCTTACCTGTACAGCAGTAACACTCCCTGAAATGTTCAGTAATGCACAGTTGGAGCAGCTGTTTCAATGCAACGTAATTTTTCCCTGTGAAAAAATGCACACTTTCTTCTGAGTTTCACTTTGCTGCAAGCTGTGGTAATACTACAGCTCCATGAAGTTAAAATCCTTGTTCAGAAGACAAAGTACAAAGCGTTCAATTGAAAAAATCCAGGCAGCGTGCGCATTAGACCATCCTGTAAGCAGTTGTCCTTTTTCCTCAATTAAAATTCACAGCATACTTCACAGCTATGCTGACTTTTCTGCATATAGTTAACTGTTTGCAAGCATTTGGATGCAGTAAACAAACAAGATGCTCAACAGAGCTTGAATTGATTACTTGGTTTCTCAGATTTTTAGACTCAAGCTGCTTCTGTGTTCTCTCTGCTCTTTCTAGTCTTTCTTGTTAGCTCGGTTTGTTAATAGTCCGATTGCCAGGGGCTGGTAGGTAGGCGTAAATAAAGAGACTTCTTGGCTTTTGACTCAGCCTTTAAGCCCTTCCCCACCAGAGAGCTTTAATCTGCCAATGTCATTTAATACAAGACACAGCTCCACCTTGAGACAGATCAGCTCCTCCTCCTCCTGCAATTTCTCTCACCTCCTTTCCCCCCCTATCTAAGTGAACATCGGAAAGTAAAATTCAGCTAAATATCTTCTAGATTGCTTAAGGTCTGCTAATGGCTGATTTTACCGAAGAGTAAACACCCACTGCAGCTCTTGCAGTTTGTTCTCTTGGGTGATCTTGCATTCAGTTTGTATCTGCAAATGCTTGCTTTAGAGACGGAAAGCATTCCAGCCCCAATACACTCCACAAAACACACCACAAGGGAAACCTTGTCCTCTGGAAAATATGTCTATCACAATGAAGTGCAGGATTATTCAAATACATAAATAACACAGTACAGTGCTCAATTCAGGCCACTCAATGTGACTGGGGTAGGGATGAGTATGTACAGTCGTACATAATTTATATCTGGAAAAAACAACAACAACAACAACAACAAAACTGGGGAATATTAGTGCTTATGTTTGTACAATGATTGCCGTCAATATTATTTAAAACTGCCCATCTTGTTCTGTAGGCAGAAAACTGGGTTGTTTGTAATTGTCTGTTTTACAGATGTTAGAATAGTGTGTTTCTGTCTATCCATGTGAGATTGTACTGTATTTGCACGAAACATACACTGATAAAAAACAGTCTGTTTTGGCGGGAGGAGGTATTCTTAAAGGTATGCATCATGCTAAAGGTATTATTTTCTTTGTGCTCATAAACAAGTAATTAGCAGATATAGTAGGACTACAGGAAAATGTTTATTCCATGCAAGGAAGATTTTCCTCATCCTTACTGCAGTGCATGGGATGGTTTTATATGCTGCAAATGCTACTTCCTTGTTCATCCCACTGCCACAGAGCCGCAAAAACTTTTGGTGAGCAACAAGGCTCACCTGCTCTCATATTTACCCTGTAGAGCATACCATTTCTCTTTTGTTCTTATTGTGTCTTGGATTACTTAGCAGATTGTTTACTACAACCTCAATACCAGTCAGATTCCAGTAACTTCTTTTGTGCTGTTAGCTCTCCAGGTGGCCTCATTGTCTTTTGAAGAAGTATTGTGACATACTGTTCCATGTGAAGGCTATCAAGATCTTGTTCTATATATACACACACGCACATATATACAAATATTTTTATATATAGGCATATGTATATATGCCTTGCCTTGTTTTCTACTGATAAAATCTGTAATTTAGCAAAATAATAATAACAATAAAATATTCCTAAGAAACAGCAACAATTTCATTTCCATTCAACACATCACTTATTTGATTGTGTTTTGCTACTTTTAATGAACTTTGCCACTCTATCTTGACTTTCAGACTTTTTACCATTAAGGCTCAAAAAATACTTAGCTACCTGTGTCCAGTTGAATAAATCATTATATTTTTATTCATTTTGCATTTATGAATTGTAAGTGGGATTATTTCTAATTTTTATTGAACATTTTATAGGTGCTCACACTTCACTTGTGGTTGATCCTTTGAGGTGGAGAATATCTATATGTGTATAGACACTTATAACAGAAGTGAAAACAACATTGTTTGCTTTTCAGTTAACATCCACAAGATTAAAACCTGATCACAAATATCTTTCCAGAAATCAATTACAAAAAAGGAGAACATTTCCTAACTATACACAAAAAACACTGAGGATCGTTATCAATGTTTGTCACTCCACAAACTGTATATTTACCAGGTTTATAAAAATATGGCTAATGATTTCTTTTCTACCAAAATTTTATGAATCAATGAGCAGGTCATTATAAAGAATGTGATTCTGCAAGTGCATCTGCATGGACAGTATTGAAGTGATACAGAGTTTGTATCCTGTACTTTAAATATTCACCTTTATCAATTGCTCTGACAATTTTAAAATTTGTGAAGCTGTTTAAATAAAATCTAAAACTGTCAGGTTTCCTTACTTCCAAAAAGGCCTTAAGCTTTTATGTCATTCCAGTTCACTTCTTCACAAAGTACAGCATCTCCATAGATCAGAAATGAGACCATATCCCTCTAACTACACTATGCTGTGAGCAATTCTCCCCCATCTACTGAGTTTTCTTTCTTATCAACATATACATGTAGAGATAGAAGTTTTAATGTTATTAAGCGTGTTGGCCTTGTGTAAAATCCTTAAAATAAGATATTCTAATATTTTCTAACATGTTCTATTAAATTCTGTGTTACATGGTAAGTTGGTCAAGTTTCTTTAACTGTATATATTACAGCAGAAACACCTGAACCTGAATTATGTAATTTGTAAATTTGTGTGTTGTAAGAGACTGAAAGAGTTAATGTATGTCTCAAACATTGTGAAAAAACAGGTTCTGCAAGTTCTGCACAACAAGACAAGAGGACGAGAGAGGTTGCTGAGTGGGATTCAGGCAGCATGTTGGAGGATGCACAGTTCTATATTCTGATATGCTGAGCAAGGCAGCTCACCATATATGGCCCAAGAAAAAAAACTCACGATCACTACGACCACCTGAAAGATCCTCTGCAAGCACCCCCCACAATGGCGTCTGTGCAGTAGAATGAGTTAAGTAAGTCCTCAAGGGACATGACTGGTACAATCCAGGGCTGGCGACTGGACTATATAAAAGGAACAGATTCCAGGAACCACACACATGTCCACCACCAGAGGATGGCTCCATCCATCATTGTCATTGCAGAATCATCACAGGATCCAAGAGTGGTGATGTCTTTCCTTATCTCTTTCTTTTCCTGTCTCTCTTTCTCTTTTTATCTTTTCCTTCTCATAACTAAGATATTAACATCATGTAAGTGGTGAACCCTTCTTGTAACTAAGAGAAGAACCTTCGTTGCTGATGTTTTTACATTTTCCAAATTCAAGTTGTTTCCATTATAAATAGAACTTTTAATGGAATGTTTTATGTTGTTTCACCTCAATTTAGCCCTAGGGGATTTTCAGAATCTTAGTTGTTCTCCTCCACCTCTGAGGTGGGATGTGACAGCTGTGACCAGAAAATGCCCAGGAAGGCTCTTCAGAATCCATTGTTTTCTTCTTAGCAATAGAATAATAAAATAGTTTGTTGGAAAAGACCATTACAATCATCTAGTCCAACTGTAAACCTAACATTGCCAAGTTCACCACTAAACCATGTCCCCAAGTTCTACATCTACACGTCCTTTAAATACCTCCAGGGATGGTGACTCCACCACTTTCCTGGGCAGCCTGTTCCAATATTTGACAACCCTTTCAGTGAATAATTTTTCCTAATATCCAACCTAAACCTCTCATGGCATAACATTCCCTTCATTCAGAAAAATTCTGAAGACTACAAGGATGCCCATAAGAAACACTGGAAAACTTTCTCACACACTTTCAGTCAGAATTTACCAGTACCACTTCTAGATTACTTTGAAGAATCTTTCCCATGTAAAGTATATTAATTTCAAGCGTGAAAATTTGGCTTACAATTTACAGACTAGTCTCCAAAATGTTAATTTTCATGGTACTGAACTTACATATTTGTAAATTCAGAGTTTAAAAATAACAGATGGAATAAGGATTCACATTTGCTATTTTAGTGGAAGGTAAAGTTCCCCTCCCTCTTCTTTCACAACTCATCATCACTTCTCAATGTGCACATCCAGAGTCGTGGATTCCACATAAGAGCTATAAGCCAAATAATGTGTCCTACTTTGCCTGTAAGAAGTTGCTAGTCCATAACAGCAAATTTTAACTTATATTTCTTGCAACACCAACTCATTGAACTCTGTATAAATACTAGTCTGAGTGCTTAAGATACTGTATTGAAAGAAAGTATTCTTCTGGAACAGTTAAGTAGCATCTGAGTATTCATACCTCAGTAAACTGAGGGACTCTATTGAAACTCATATACATAGTATACACAAAAATTCCATATGGAGAAAGCACTACCAAGGTTATATCTTAACTAAGTAGGATCAGAGAATATAGCATGTGCACATACGCACACATAAACCAAACAAACACAAAACCCCCGTAATACAACATAGCTACAATTATAAAAGCTACCAGTGCCTACTATAAAGACAGTGCAGTCTTTCCCTCCAATGACAAAGGAAATTGGGAAAAGTTTTCTTGAACCATATGTTTTATGACAGTCAAGTAAACAGGAAAGAAATAATTAAAATTGTCATTAGGAAAGAGAGGGGGTTGTATTGTAGGCATCCATTTATTTAATTCAGCTACAGAACATCTATTTCTTTCATAGAACTATTGCACCTTTTTTAGGCACACCTATGGGATAGGTCTTACTCAAAACCTTTTTCTGGTCTGAATACACTGTTTGTGTGTTTTTTTGCAGCCATGAATATATTGCAATCATGTAAACAAAGGTCAGGATTCCCCTCTAAAAGTGATATACAAGCCTAGTGACTATTCTCTAAGTAAATATTTGTTTGTTTGTTTGTTTGTTTTTTATATAACCCTTATTGTATGGCAATTCTCAGAAAAATCTGATGAAAAACATCTTCAGTGTATAAGAAAACCATCAGGTTAAAGGAACAAATTTCTATCATCTTAATGCAGCTTCTAAGTAACTAAATTAATTTAGACCCATATATACATACCTAATATACATGTATACATACATATATAACATCGTATGCATTGATAATCATCATTGTATTGGGTTTGGGTGGCCAGGTTTTGCCAGTGGTGGGGCATAGGGGTGCCTTTTGTGAGAAGATGTTAGAAACTTCCCCCATGTCCAACAGAGCCAATGGCAGCTGGCTCCAAGACACACCTGGTGCTGGCCAAGGCCCAGCCAGTCAGTAATGGTCATAAGGCATCTGTGTTAAGGTATTAAGAAAGGGAAGAGAGAGAAAAAAAAAGAAAAAAAAAAAGTGCATTTTGCAGCTGGAGAGAGGAGTGAATATATATGAAAGAAACAGCTCTGCAGACTCCAAGGTCAGTGAAGAAGGGGGGAGGAGGTGCTCTG